AAGTATGTGCTTTCATTAAAGATACATAACGAATCGACCTTTCTAATTTATTTATCAGTAGCTTTTTTCCGTGACGTCACCTCGTGTGAACTCAAGTGAAATTGGTATACAGAAACGCTAAATTGCCCTTACCTTCGACATAAAGGTACTAGCTCTCGGGACGTCGAACGTATTTTTAAACAACAGCATAATTTGCGTCGCTTACATTCTGCTGCAGGGTGCAGGACACAAAGCAAAATAGTTTGTTTTTTAAACGTTAGCAAAAAATGCAAATAAGTTGTTCCGCGCGCTAATCTCGTGAAGCTTGTAGCGGCTTAATAGGCGCCGGCTGCTGGCAGCGCTGTTATGGCGCCGGTTTATTGCATTTTTACTTTTACTGCTGCCGAATTAGATTTACTAGGGTTATGATGGATTGAAATAGCTTCTACAGTGAACGTCCTTTGATGTCCATTGTTCTTTAAAGAAAAATACTCAAAAGTTTTCATAAAGTACCTAACTAATATTCATGAGATAAACTTTTATTAGATCACTTTTTTAGTATATTTCTCTCTGTATCTTCTTAAGCTTAAGCGTTCAGGCTATTAAATGCATCCGTGCTCCGTGTTTTAACAGTATCGAGAATTCAAGATGCAGTAAGCAGCGTTTGGGATGCTTCTTATCTTAGTTTAGTTTATTTTTCACGATGAATAAAGAAAATTGGTTAGGGATGCTTTGTATTTGTACACGTGAATTGATTTATTTCTCACATAATGATCAACAGATGTTCCAAACCAAAAGTGCGATCGGCAAAAACGTACCACAAAATCAGTTTAAAAATTCACACCGCGTTTTTCATCCGCCGAAAAATACACTTTTTCTCGAAGAAACATTACGCGCAAACCAAAAACAACAGTCAAAGAGAATCCCCGGTTAATCCCGCTCATATTTCAGGAGTACCGTCGCCGGCAGAAGTTCGTTAATACATTTTGTTTTACGACGTATGACCGCAATAAAAATGTCTAACTGTCCAGATGTACGAGTACGTGTAGCCGAATGCATATTCCATTGCGAAACATAAACTTGTTCGATTTCTGTATTTGTTTTCGCGTCAATCTGTGTCAGATAGGCGGAGTGGCGTACAATATCATTAAAATAACAGAAATTATTCAGCCGGATATTTTTAGGTCAGTACACAAACTTTTTGGTTCAAAAGGCTTGTCCGTACACAAACGTTTTACTCAGTAAAATAAGTAGTACTTCAAACAAAATAAACTGACAAGCGTCAACTAATATGATAAATACAAATGTTTTATCAATTTATGGAAAAACTGTTCAAGCCTTATAGGTATTTTTTTTTTCGTAAACTTGGACATATTATATTTTACTGTTGAAATTTTGTTCCGAGCTGTCCCTTTTTGGTCACGGTGTAAAAACCGAATACTTCTCCGAAGGAGCGGATTTGGGCCCGTTAATAATTAATAGACGGTGCGGAGCCCCAACAATTGTTGTATCCCTGGATTTGGCCGCTTCCCGAACTCCCCCAGTCTCCCCTTCACAGACAATTGTTTGCCTAATGGTGATTTTGGACGTAAAGAAATGAAAACGCAGTATTATTTTATTTGAGGGTTCCTTTTCCCTATCTGCAACAAACAATATTACAAAATACCTTTGTCATCGTGTTTTTTATTTGTCACGAAAAGTATTGCACAACAATCTCACCTGATGTTATGGAAATATTTCAACGAAGCTAGATACTTAGTTTATCTGACCAGTTAAATGTAGAAGAATATTTCAAGTACCTACTAAGTTGTTTTGTATTATTTTTTAATTTAGCTTAATATGATTTGTGCTTAACTTACGGTTTGTAATTAAAGTTCCAAATGAATTTGCGGTTGTTTTCAATTTGTTACAATGCAGCTCACTCACTGCAGTTGCAAGTAAACGGTGACGTTCTACCTTAAGTTTTTTAATGCCGCCATATTTGAAGTTCCCTTTGAAGCCAGGTAAATCGGTTGGTTTTCTAAATTAATTTTCTGTTCGTAATAAATGTAATGTTTTTGTAATCAACTAGAGTGCGCTCTCCTTCGCAGTCGAATTCATTCCGAGAGATTTCAAATGTATTGATTGTGGAGTAATTGAATTTTAACTTTTCAAAGTACTCAGGTTATTGAATTTCTAAGCAATGTCTCTTGATTTTTATAACATTATGACTTTGATGACGGATCACATAATATTTTTTGTTAGTCTCACCTACTTTCGTAGGGGTTCTCCAAGGGAAATGCTTAGGTACCTTTTATACATGATGTTTGAAGTTTTACATAATATTATTTGATGGGCTCTGTTTGCTTGTTTTATCGATGGATCGGGAATCTGGATACAACCGGGATGTTATCCCGGGGGATCCTAAAACAATAAAGCATGAACCCTTGGTTGCTCGTGCAAACAAAAACAACGTGTGTTATGGAAAATCTTGAGCCATGTTTGTTAGACAAATTGATGTAATAGTTTAATATGCAAAACGTAGCTTAAATGGCAATGTTGTTTGGCCATACACTTTTGGCTCTTTTCATATTTCTTCAGGTAACTTCTAAATAAATTCTTCATGAATAAAAAATATGTAATATTAAGTAATATGTACTCCCTCTCTAGTCTCTACCTATCATAATCTCATCAGCTAAAGTGCAGATAATAATATGATGAAACCTGTTTTGGTGTTTATTCACTCCTGGCTTTAAGGGTTAGGGTTGTGAATTGGAGGAACACCTTAAATACTCGTAAGAATATGACTGACAACTGTGCACATTTTTCATCCTACTTAATATTATAAATGCGAAAAGTTTGGATGTTAAGATATCTGGATGTCTGGATGTTTGTTACTCTTTCACGCAAAAACTACTGAACGGATTTCAATGAAACTTTATTATTGTTTATAACCCAGAATAACATATAGGCTATAATTCATTACGATCTGTGACAAACTAAATTTCACGCGGGTGAAGCCGCGGGCAAAAGCTAGTATAAGGTATAAAGCAAAACTTTTGATGTGGAAGGCGAATAATTATGTCGAAAATAACAGAAATATTTATCCATCAAGAAGTTATAACAAGCTTTGAAGGCTCGTTTCTCCATATTTTCACGTCTATTACCTACTCGTTATTTTTCCTTTCATTATAGAAAATTCTGCTACTGTTACATTTTCCGATACAAAAATATTCCCCTCAATTTCAAGTCTGTACATTAATGTACAACATTGAGGAATGAAAAAATAATATTTCTACTCCAAAGGAGGTATCCTCCTTCAGCGCCCTCTAACTCAGAAACTCGACTCATATTTTCCTTGTATTTATAAGGTATGTTGTAGGGAGGGATATAAATCGTAGAAGATCCGAATAATAAATATCCGCGATTACATTTTTTGCTGTATTTGGATCTGTCTTCTGTAACCTGAATGATTTCAGAAATTAACAATCTGTATGTAGGTAATGTTAGGAAAAAGTATTTTATGAGATAAATGAGATCACATATCAAAGCATTGAAAAAAGAGTCAATTTCTAGAGAGTGTAACCATATGGTCGCCTGCATATCATCTTACCACAAAATTGCCTCAATTACTACGACTACTTGACGAAATTTTACTCAGTGCTATTTTGGACTACTTACTGGCTGTTTGAACCTTAAATATCTGGACCTTATTGTGTTTTTTCTTTTCTTTATGTATACTATTAATATGATTAGATACCTACGTACGTACGGATCCGTACCTGCCCGTATCCGAACACTCACATCTCTAGTTAAGTCTAGTATTTATTATATTTTGGCTTCTCTGAGAGGCGTGACGTCACTTGCGGATTTATGGGCAAAAATACAGGCTGAAAGCAAATATACAGGGCAGCAGAAATACTCGTAGTCGGCAACAGATAGAAATATGGCCGCTAATAAATTGCTATTCCGGTGTATTTTCTGTTAGTCCGATATTTTTCTGCCTCCTTTTTTGGTTAGTTGCTTGCCCTGAATAAGTATCATTAATATTACCTGAATGTAACAAAAGTTATTGCTCCTCATTACTGCGGCCAAATATTATGTAAGTAAAAGGAGCTTTTGTGTTACTTCTGTTGTCTAATGACTATTTGTACTGACGACAACATAAGAAGCTAAACGATGTGGCATCTTATGTAAGGTATAAATAGGTGCTAGTTTACAACAACACTGTTTAGCATGATGTGTTGTCAATGGTACAAAACTGGAACGGGGTTGTTGGAAAAATTTGAGGAAAAGCAACAGTAGAATGGGGAGAATTGTACGAGCAGTGTTACAGAAATGCGTCTTAAAATTCCTTTGATTGTCAGAAAAAGTGGGTTTCATACTTGTTACATCTTTTACTTTTCAAGAAACCACGATAATACACACCGAAATTGAGCTACAACACTATGAAAGCCTCGCCTATTCCATAACGAATGCCTTTGTAACATAATATAGTGTGTAGTCTCCGCTTCATACACGAAGGATTCGAATTATGAGAAGAAAAATCGTCATAAAGTACATTTGCCTGTTATTGCGTTGTGTTTTCCCTCTTGTAGATTTAAACAGTCCTCTAAAAATTCCTGGAGTCTGCTTGTTTACAGAAGGCGATGCTCATTTGTTTGTTTCGACAGCGAATAGCTCAAATAAATTGTATTTTTTTTACTGCGCCGAATCATTTTCTGCATGCGGTTTCTTTTCATGTGAAGTAATAAGTAATAATAAATTGTTTTACCTGTAACTATCCTTTGCCCAAAAATAGCTCATGTACTAATAAAAATGTTTAGTAACAAAATAAATACTTTATAATAAATAAACAAACTAAAATAGACACTTTTATTAATCTATGAACGTCCTTAACTCTGTGTGAAATGAAATGAATGTCAAGAATTAGGTTTAGTCACTACCTACCATCTAGTAAATGATTCAGTTTTTTTTTTGTCGAGCGTCTACTTAATATGTTATGCGATTGGTTTTTTGATGTTATTTTTTTTTCTTTTCAGGTAAGTCCACCGTTATTTTCTACAACTTCGCATATTTTTAGGGGTAAGTCCTTAAAATAAACCTACTTTATGTTACAAACTTCAATATACTTAAAACGTTGTGTAAAACTTAATAGTACTTACAAGACGCAGCTTAATTCGATCCCGCAGCTTTTCTCCCGAAGCTCCTTGAGATTTCCCGGACTTTAAATAATTTTGTTTTCCTTGCATATAAAGCTCGCGAATCGGGAACATTGGGGACCTAAGTGAATTTGTCTGGAGAGTCTTGTAAGTGCAAGAAATACTACGAAAAGCGAGATTAAGTTCTGGATTGAACGTTATCTTGAAAATTCTTGTTTTACACCATTTAATCTTATGATTTGTTTTAAAAATATTTTAAGGCTGTGATCAAAAGTTTTAATAAGATTCGTCGACATAAGAACGTGAAAATAAATAAAGATTGCTTTTGGAGTCTTTAGAGTAGGCGCACACCGTTGGTTTTTAGTTGGCCGATAGTTGTGCCCGATTTTAATTTGTATGAAGAATCGGCCAAATCGAATCGGCGGAGTGTCCGCACTCCCATACATGCCCATACTGATCAACTGCCCGACTAAACTATCGGCCGATAAAAAATCAACGGTGTGCGCCTACTCTTAGACGTTTTACAGCACCAGTAATTCGGATTACGGTTTAATACTCCATGACGCGACGTAATGCGACCAATACTTCACGTGACGTGTGTAATACGCGACTACTTAGTCGCGTATTTATCGTTAACTATTTGTCGTTCACCTCCAACGGGTTACATTCGCACGCCTATATCACGCGACCGCCTCGTGACATGAATTTCATACTTAGTCAAGTTTTATGTCTGTTGAGGGTCGAAGTCTTAAACGCTTGCATTGAACTCTATCGACCTATCTATCTTGGACCGACGATCAGTAGGTCGCGGGAGGTGCTTGGATGCGGGCGGCGCAGGACCGGTCTTTGTGGAAATCCTTGGGGGAGGCCTTTGTCCAGCAGTGGACGTCATTTGGCTGAAACGAAACGAACCCTATCGCTAACAACTATCTCTGGTTGTTTCGTTTCGTTTCGTTTCAGCCGAAAGAAGTCCACTGCTGGACAAAGGCCTCCCCCAAGGATTTCCACAAAGACCGGTCCTGCGCCGCTTGCATCCAGGTACCTCCCGCGACCTTCACCAGATTGTCGGTCCTGGTTGTTTAATTCTTTTCAATTCCATTCAACCCATTAAGTCACTTCATTCAACATTAAAAAACGCGTAACATCCCCTCGCAAGTTTGACTCGGCGACCCGCGTCAGGCAGGAATCAAACCGGCGATAAATCTACCCACACACGCGCACGCGGATAATGGAGCCATTTAAACCATTACCCACCTGTCGGCGGTCGGTTACGTATCATGGCGACTGGCACATCCTACTTCCTATTCATGATTATTGTGAACATAAAAGTCAGCGAGGGTTGATGGAGATGGATGATATTAGTTATTCTTTCATCTATGAGTAAGACGGAGTAAACAGAAATTGATAATGTAACAACATGCGGAAACGCGATAGTATGACCTGACTAGCTAAAGGGGACTCACTGGACCTTCGACCACCTTCGCGTCGCAGGGTGCCGGCACTCCTGAGCCCTCCTTGGCTGGCAAAGGTTGCGAGCTTAATTCACAAGTACCATCGAAGTGCCAATGCAATGCGGAGCAAATTTACTGCGATGTAGAATTGACAGGACAGGCTGACGTTCTTCCGAATGAAGTCCACCTGTCACTTGCCAGCCAGTGCTGTATAATGCGATTTTAGACAGTAAAAAAAGGCCATAAAGTGGCTTAAACAACAAAGTAAACAAAGTTCCTTCACCTTCGGCCTGATCGTCACTTACCATCAGGTGAGATACAGGCCAAGAGCTTCCTCGTTGTGGATAAAAAAAAAAAAAAAAAAAAAGTTGCGGGTTGTACCTCTAGTAATGTATTTTGAGAAACTAAGCAAAAACTATTAGCTAAATAAAAGTCGTGTAAATAGATTCTTACTAACATTCTGCAGGAAACAAAAAAATCGCTGTCAAAACAAAATGTTCCTGAAACTTTATCAGCTTCCGTCATCGGTCCCTTAGTTGGTTCATTTGTTCAAAGAAAAGAAGGAACATTTCTTCCTTCGTCAATCACGTAACTTTTCTGTTAAGTTTTTTTAGGACCATTTTTTACCATTCAGCCTACGTTACAAAAAAGAGAAATTTTTCCTTTTTCAATTTAGGTTTCCCATCTGAAAGTTGAATTCAGGACCTCCAAATTAAGAGAGTTGAAATCTCTAATCATTCAATCATAAGCTTTATTGATTAAATTAGGCGTATCTACGAAAATACTACGTAGGTGTTATTAGATGTTGCTAAATATAAATACTCAATTGTAGTGGATTAATCTCCAAATAATAAGCTCCTTATTTACTTGTCCTTCAAGGTACCTAACCTTTATTCAGATCCAAGGTCCAAATAATAATTAAACAATACCTAATGGAGCCAGTACACGCGGTTATTTCAGTCCAGACAGGCCAAAATGGCGGCGGTTCGAAAGTGACGCGGCGGAGTGCAAAGGTTAAATAAATCTTTTCAGCCGTCAGGTGTGACGGGGGGGGGGGGGTAATGTAGTGGGGTAGATGAAGATGAATGAGAAATAAATACTGTTCGCATTCAAAGAGTTCATTTAAAATAGGACCTTCTTTGATTAAACGGTACTGAAAAGAAAAAAAAGCACTTAAAACTAGCTTTTACTATCAGCGTCCCAAAGTGGCCAAAAAGTGGACAACACGACCTTATTCAATGTTGCAAACTTTTTGGCTACTTTTTGACGCTGACTGTACAATGAAAACTAAATAAAATCATAATAACTGACATGATTATGCTTGCAATCCAAAAGATAAAAATAACAGGAGCATTCGTGAACGAAGAAAACTTAAAAAGCACGCCCGAGAGCTTAATAATAACACTGCATTAATAAATCCTACTGGAAGATAAAAAGCCTTTGTACAAGCAAAACTTCAAACCGTTTCAGCACCTAAACAAAGCCTCGCCAGCGCCAAAGAGTAAAAAAGCAATACAACAAAATCTAAAACATTACACACGGTGTCGTTGGACATGCTACTTTACCATCTTCATCCTAAGGTGCAAAATTAAGCGGATGTGAAGTAGAGTCGGCAATTAAGAACGGTGCAATAGTTTACGCTCAGTACTCCCCATATTAGCTCTTCGCTATTGCGCTGGAAAACGAAGTGAGTTTCGAAGTTTCCACATTCGTGTGGAATATTTGTAAATGTTACAATTTATTGATAATGTCTGAAAACGAACTTCTGCTGGGACATAGTAAAATTAAAAATCAACTTTTAGCACAGAATGTAGTGTTGCAATGATGTCACTAAATAATTGAAGATGTGGAAGCTAATAGCGTAATTTATATTGCAGTAAATATAATCACTTCTGCTTCGTCAGTCAATAACAATATTACTTTTGTTATCATAAACACACTAAATCATCTGGTAGATTCCATTAATAATGACAATCTTACCACTATTATTACAATCTATTCTTCTAGCGATATTGAAAAAATGTTCATTACTACAAAATCTAATATCGGTTAAGTATCCTAATAACGCCTTTGAGAAGATAGCATTTAACCCAAGCTCCCACATAATGATATTATAAAACCAAATGAACCATAAACAGGTTTTAATAAAGTGACAGCTCATTTTCCGACCTCCGCAAATATTGGCCTAATTTCGGCGTACGAGTGTGTTTACTTAAATCACTTTTGAAGTGGAGTGCTTTAGGGAAGTATTTTGGACCCAGTGTGATATTATCCAATTTATTTATTTAACGTAAAGGTTTCACATACATTCTAGATGTGATCTCGAAATAACTTATTCGCTAATAATTTAGTAGTTAGGTCTAGTGGGAGGCTTAATGAGAGCTTGTGTCATTAATTATTCTCTCTGTAATGATAGTATAGTAAATGTACCCAGAATAATTATATAATATACTGTAAGTAATGTAGCGTAACTATTTAATATTACCAATTAGATATCACTGGGTTAGGATTTGATAAGGTCAATGTGATCATACGTCATTTGAGTAGTTCTACCTACTTTTTATAAAATACCATATCCTTCTAAATAACCCTTTTAGTATTTAGTGGGGTTTTTTTGGGGTTGGGGTTTAATTATCAGACTACCATATCAAACGCCTCCAACTGATTTATAACTGAAATTATAATTGAGCGGGTACAAAATGGTTCTTCAAGCCTTCCTTGGAATTATTTGGTCGCGTGACGGAACCCATAACGCCGCCGGCGTATCTCTGGTTATGAATGGGTTTATTTATTCCACCACTGTATGTTTGTGAGTTAAAACTTTGGAATTGTAATCCTTTTTTAATCACACCCCTTTTGTTTGTCTGTTTTCTTTGATGTTTGTTTCAGGTTTAAAATCGTCACGATCTTATTGGACTTTATTTGGTATCATCTGGTTTACAAATTCTTATTTATAACTAATTGCTTAACAAATTGTTGGCTTTTTGAGTTTTCAATTGATGTTTCTAATTATTGTGTAGATACTAAATATTAGAATGTTAATAGATTTGCTAAATTTCTCAGAAGTGCTGATTCATTAACAGTTTAGTTTCTCAGAAGTAAGCTTATGCAAAGTTGGCTTATGCCTGGTATCTTAGCAAGCAGTTTCCAAAGTCAATATGTTAGTTACATTTGCTGTGAAGACGAAAGCTCCTTTCGTGGAGCTTTTAATACCTCGTAAAAGTACTAAGTCCTCACTCTCGTCATCGTCTCAGGTGACGTATAACTAGAAACTCAGTAATGAACATAATAAAACGTATCCTTTAACTCACAATGATTTATGAATGAAGCTTTCTGGGCGCTTCTAAAAGTCGTAATTCCTAGAAATTATTGGAAGCACGATCTTGTCAATAGAACTTAAGGAAGTAATTAATATCATGTCACCGTAGACTTCTTTAGAAATCCTAAAATAGCTTGAATCGTAAATTTAGATAGGTATAAAATATGATTAATTAATTTATCCTTATAAAGGGT